AACCAAAAATACTGTTGATCTCGTATTTCAATTAGAATATTCACGTGTTATAGGCAGCTTGATGTATATTACCAACAGCACGCATCATGATATAGCATGTGTAGTCAACAAGTTGAGTAGATTTACGAGTAATCCAAGTTATGACCATTGGAAAGTATTAGATCGAGTTCTTAAATACTTAAGACACACGGCCAATTATGGATTATACTACTCAAGATATCTTGTAGTGTTAGAAGAATATAACGATGCAAATTGGATATCTGACCCAAAGGATTCAAAGTCTACAAGTGGTTATGTGTTTACCATTTGAGGTGGAGTTGTGTCCTGAAAATCGTCTAACCAAACTTGTGTAGCTCGATCCAAGATGGAATCCTAGTTTATTACTTTTCATAAAATCAGAGAAGTGGAATGGTTTCATAATCTTATCGAGGATATTCCATGTTGAGAAAAAAACGGTAACTGCGATTAATATACACTGTAATAATCAATCGGTTTTTACAAGGGCACAAAATAGTATGTATAATGATAAATCTCGACATATTCGTCGGAGACATAAAACCATTAAACAATTGATATCGAATGGTAGAATCTCGATTAACTATGTTAAATCAAAGGAAACATAACGGATCCTTTGACGAAAGGATTAACGAAAAATCAAGTATACCATCTTTCTAGCAGAATGGGCCTAAAGCCTATCAAATAGAATCAATATAGTGGAAACCTAACCTGTAGATTGGAGATCCCAAGATCTTAGTTCAATGGGACAACTAAATTATGAAAGATTCAGTGTAAAGTACTTACTCCCATTTCTACAAAAAGTGCTGGAATAGAAAGTGTTCAAGGATAAGTGTATACTTTTAATGATTCATATATCTTGCAAAAAGACAATAGATGTATTATACTATAGGAGATCACCTATATAAGTGTGAAGTAGGGCCGCTTCTACGAAGAATTTGAGGTTTAATTCTCTTAAAACACTTATGAAATTAAGAGTTGTTCATGGCCAAAATGAACACAACCATGAGAACCGAAATGGTTAGATGAGTTATGGTGTTAGTACAATTGTTTTCATTTACACGAACGGCTGAATTGTTCAAGACATTGCGTTCACCAATTAGTTTAGTAAATTCAATTGTATTAAACTAAAGAATGTTCACAGCCACAAACCATCTATCTTGAAGTTATAACTTATTGCATGTACTCCTTTGTTAGAATCCACATGTCATTTGCATTATGTTGTGCATATCAAGGAATTTTCATTCATGTGGAAGATTGTTGGAATTGGTTTAAAGAAATAAAAATTTTGGTTAAGTATAATTTTGAACAAGTGACTCGGTGTCAACTTTGAGCAAATATTCAGACTTGATCCGATGGTAAAATTACAAATATAAATAAATTAACTTGTTCTAATCGTCGAGTAGATCGTCGTAGTATATTTGGAATCTCAAAACCAATTTCGGATGAATGAGAAATTGCGGTCCAAAGTTAGATAGAAAAGATGATACACGAGCTGAAATATGACTATCTATGTTGTTCGCCTATCGCTCGAGCGAGTGGCGAGCGATAGGCTAGTGAGAGAAGCTCTGATGAAAAGGTGTCGTTGTCACTCGAGGGAGAAGTCAGGTACAGGCTAGCGACAGCAAGAGTTGCTTCTGTTCGTAAGGTTGTAAGGTTTGGCTTGCAACACTTCGTCCACAACTCCTCATACTCTATAAATATGACCCTTGGAACGTCATTTTCTACACACCAATTATATATATATATCATAAAATTCTGGTTTTCTTCATTTTTGCATTAAGGAATACATAAACCAAATTTTGGTTCGTTTTTCTTGTATGTTGAAGTGCTAATCACACAAGATTCAACACACAAGAAGAAGTCGTTGTATCTTGGGAGTTGATTGCCATAAACAGTAGGCACCGTTGCGGGGCAAATTCGACTTAAGGATAAAGTGTTCAACACTTGCCTCGACTTTGCATCCATTTGGCGTTATTCATTTGAATTTTCATTATCGCTACTCTGCCGAAATTCCAACAAAAGTTTGATAAAGATTCTACAGGCGTTTGTTTGTCACTCTATACACCTTATCCATCCAACACTATTTGCAGTTCGTGACGATTACTCGTAATCCCTTTCTCAATAGCTTGATGAAATCTACACGTACTCTAACCTTATTGCTCCTTCCACATCCACGGCCTCCAAGTCACCAATGAGTTTGCCCCACTTCCCAACTAAGACCTCATTCTCAAGTAGCATATGGACATTGTTAATCCAAATGAAGCCTCCTAGAGATTCATTGTAGCTACATCGTCAGCCCCGTTATCTTCAATGAAATGATAATATGCTTGTTGAAAGTCTATGGACCCCTAACAAACAGTCCATTTAAAGTAAAAATATTTGGTGTTCCATTTGCTTCAATTTTTATTGTTCTCTGTATGTTCTTCAGCCCGTCTCTTAGTGATTTTAATCAAACTTCTAGAAAAATTTGATAATTTGAAATTGTCTCATTCATTTAAAACATTAAGACATGCAAACCCACCACAGTTGAAATGTCCAATCCCAAACATCAATAAATTTATTTTTTAACGTTCACCTTTGATAAGGCGTTAAAAATGATCATTCTGCCCTTATTGCATTTCCCTAAATACTACCCAATTTATTTCCTCGAGTGATCATAATGAAGGAGCATAACGATTATTGCAACAACTATTGGTTCTTGAGATGATAGGTGAGAAGTCAACATGTTTCATCATTGATTTGCCAATACAATATAAATTAATTCTTAATGGATCCACACTTTGGCACCAAAGAATCTACATCATCAGCGGCGAACCCAACACTCGGCGAGGGGGCACGGACGCACGTGCTGGGCTTCCCCCGGAACAATAGGCTGGTGCTATGGTCTGGCTAGAAGAGGAAGAACCGAAGGAGAGGACCGGAATTCTTTCTAGTTTGGGCCAATTCCAGCTATGGGCATTATATAAAAATAATCAGGCCCAATTCATCATTAAGTCATTGATCCATAGATCATAATCCATTACCAATTTACCTAATCCATTATTCATATGAATTTTGAACGCAAGATGAGAAGAAATAGAACGAAGATGAGAAGAAAGAGAACACAACGCACGCACGCAGACACGACAGACGAAACGCACCACCGGCACCACAGTGAGCTCAGTTGGGACTCTGGAGTCTGGACTCCTGTGGGCTAGACAGAAATGGATGGACGTCGGACGGGACACTGGACAGTGGTGAGTTTCCTACAGTATTCTTTTTATAGATTTTTTTTTTTGGATTTGGAATTGGTGTTATCTTTTACTTATGAGTTATGAATATGTGATTTGTGAATCTGTGATTTGGCCATTTGGGATAAATAGTTTATGTTGTACGAGCTATTGAGTTATAATTTTTAATTTATGATTTTTAATTTGTGATTTGGAAATTTATTATTTAAGTTTAGCAGTTTAGGAATTTAGGGTTTAGCCGTTTAGGGTTTAAAAAATTCAATTGAAAATATTTTGGACTCTATTCGACCATCTGTGCTCTATTTTTTAATCAATCTAATTGAAAAATAAATTTTGGGCATTTTTCAAATTATGTCGGTCTCTTTGTTATATTATTCACTAAGACCGACTTTAAGGATTGGAAGCACAAAAAGACATTGAAAGATCATGTCTGTTTCTTTGTTATATTATTCTTATTTTTGTCATCCCTCTCTCCCTCTATCTCATCTTTCGCAAACGATCTCGCTATTACGACGGTTGACGACCACCCTAACTAAACAAACTTCATGGATTCGTCACTGTAAATCATACATGTGCTTCCTTCAAGTTCCAAGCCTTCCCTATTCACATAACGGTGCCCCATAATTTTCCTAATAAGGCAGAGTTCCAGATGCATCCCTCAAACCTCGTATGAGCTAGTCAATGCAAAATGAAATGTTCATAAGTGAAGTGACAAAGAATATTAAACTCGGTATATTAATTTATTAATTTAAATATAGTTTTTATCTTGGTATATTCCTATCTTTGTGGTGCCCCATACTTGAGCACAAGTTGGTGTCACCATATAATTACCATGCAAAATTAACTTGTTATGCTGTATCCAAGGAACCAGGATCTAATCCCGAAAGCTTAGTCTGTGACTCTTTCATTAAACTCTTTTGTTTATACAAAGAGTGATCGTATTCTTCTCGTTACTTGTGTCCATTCGTCTAAGCTCCTATTTGGTATACAGATTTTTAAAAATATATTTTTTTTCAAATTCATTTTTAACCATCCACTCTGAATAAAATAATTTTACACGTGAACCCATAACTTTTCTTTACTTACTAACCACACATTCTTAAAATAACACTTTTCACATAATTGATTCTCAAATACCACGAACATTATAAAGAAATGAACAAGTGACAACTTCAGTCCTTAATTCATGAAAGGGGGAAGATTCTGTGAATCAATTTTATTCAGATATATTTTTCCTTAAGGGCGTGTTTGGTGGAGATTAAAATCGGATTAAAATTGAAAAACTAGCAATTATTGTTGACTTTTATTAACGAGTTAGACTCAATAACGACTATATTTTCAATTTTAATTGGATTTTAATCTTTACCAAACAAGTACACAATCTTTTGCTTATCAATTGATCCTGCTGAATAAGACAAGAAATCACTAATCAGTGTATCATTTTCTATCAAACTGTCCCCTCCATGTGTCCTAAGAATTACTATCAAACTTTTTTTTTTTTTTTGAATGATTTTACTATAGTTTTCTTTTCTGCTTTAAATATTCATTTTTGTACCTTAAGAAATTATATGATAAGATCATAAGCTTGATGGAAATAGAAACATAGCACGCAATTCTAATCAGATTATTTATAAGAAAAATCTAATCATTTTACATCGAAAAACACTTGACAAAACAAACTTTTCCATAAAGCCGAGTGTCACAAAAAGTTACTAAGACGGTTTTCGTTATCTAGATCAGGTGGATTGTCCATCAAAATTCAGGCAAATCGTCAAATAGGGACTCTAACAGCATATCGTCAGCCTCCATCATACTGTGAGTACTTGCAGTGCAAGAATATACATCAGAAGAAAACAAATCCCCATGATCAGCTCCTGATGAAAATGCAGTCGTTTGAGCCACAAAGTAATCAGATGACGAAATTGCAGGAATCATCCGACTCGCTGGCTTATATTCCACAGGTTTGGTTGATGTCGACCCTGAACCGAAACTCAAAATTATGGAAGAATCCTTGACAGTGGAATCCATGATGATTTGACAAGGTTTAAATAAGTTCTTGCATGTATGATGGCCAAGGTATGTGGTCCTGTATATTGGTGGATCATCTTGAATTTGCTGCACTTGTTTGCTTGCTTGGCATCCTTGATCATACTTGTGGGTGCACCTCAAGTAGCTCCTACACAAGAGACCAGACATACCACAAAATTTATTAGTTCAGTATTGTCCAATGTAGTTTAGTAATTTCGATAAGCATATATGTACCTCGGATGTTTGGCATTGAGGATGACTTTCTGTCCATATTTTCTCCAAGCATGACCATCTTCAAACAAAGTTGGGGTGTCTTTTGTCCATGTCTCAGAAGTTCTCCTACATTTTAAAAATTGTAAAATTATCACAAAAGACATGAGTAAATAATAAATATATACCATTAACATATTTTTTTCATCATCAATCTTACCCCTATTGGAGATTATTATTTTCTTGATCTGTTCTCTTTCCTAAAGTAAGTAGGCAACAATTAATCTGATCGCAGTAAAAATATTTTAAAAATCTATATAAAAAAAAAAAAACTAGGATAAAGAGTAAGAAGTGACTTGTACAAATCATTTTCTTTTTAAAGATAATCTTAGATCAATCAATTATATACTGATTTGACTATTTGTATCTATACGTACTCAGAATTCCAATTCATAGAGGTCTATGATTTAGAAAATTCTTTCCTTTTTATTGGGATATAATAATGAACTGAACAAAGTAGCGAAAGTTCCCTCCACACGTATAGACGCAAATCTTAGTTTTGAGTACAAGAAGTACTACCTTCTCTTGTATCGTCCTCTCCGATCTTTCCACTCAAAAGTCTTGCAACTTTCGCTGGAATCTTCAGATTTTCGGCCGTCCAAATTCACGGCTGGAAATCGAGAAATCCCATTGGACTCAGTTGAGCTAAGAATCGAAAGACTGTCCTTGAAAGTATCCAAGATTTTGTCTACAAGACCTTCTGCCAAAGACTGTTCTAATGCACCATCACCGTTCAGCATGACTTGAAGGTGGTTGATGAGTTCAAGGCCGCGAGTCAACTTGTCGATCACCCGTTTCCGGCCATTTGAGAACTCCATTTCAGCCTTGAGGAAGGAATATGAAACAGCTTTATATATACCAGCTTAAAGAAAACTGCTGGAAACTACGTGGAGACGATCGCACGCGCAGTTAATCACTAAACGACATAATATTGAGCGTTGGGAGCTTTTGGACGATTGGATACATAGGAAGTTTTCACACGCGTCGAAAGGCGCGTTTAGTACTTTCTTCTCTCACGTAGATGACGTACACTTGGAATGTCATTGCTTAAGTCACATGCCACTTGGCACCGTGAAATAGGCTGTAGCAAAAGTTTAATTTTTGAACCACATTTAAATAAGAGAAATGCTATTCATCACCACTGGGAATGCATTTCCAATCTATGTGGTGTTTATGTAGCATTAAATGATATGTGAAATTTAATTTCACCTATCATTTAACCAATCATTTACACTCACATAAATTGGGGATGAATAGCATTTTTCTTTAAATAAAGGGAAGATTACCTATTCAAG